CTGCCAGCTGGGCCCACAGCAGGCAGTACACAAATGATTAAATGTCTTTGTCTGTGCCATGTCACCTGTGAACTTGGAAGCTGTCGTGTGGACCATGCAGGAAACAATTCAGCAGTGTGTACAATGAGGGTCTGTGGTGGTTTGAAAGAAAATGGCCCCCAAAGGAAGTGGCACTGTTAGGAGATGTGGCCTTGTTGGAGGAAGTGTGTCACTGTAGAGGTAGGCTTTGAGGTCTCATCCATGCTCAAGACATGCCAGCGAGACAGTCCACTTCCTGTTGTCTGCACAAGATGTAGGACTCTCAGCTACTTCTCCAGCACTATGTCTGCCTGCATGCTGCCATGTCCCACCATGATGCTAATGGACTAAACCTCTGAACTGTAAGCGAGCCACCTCAATTAAATGTTTTCATTTTTAAGAGCTGCCATGGTCATGGTGTCTCTTCATAGCAACAAAAACCTTAAGACAGGGTCCTTACCATGGTCTCCCTCAGCTGCTCTTCCAGCTTAACCTTCTCTTCTGGGAGAGTCTTGTCTGCAGAGGGTGGCTCTGTCTTTGGCTCACAATGACCCAAGTCCTCTTCCAGGCTCTGGCCATTATTCTTCTGTTTCGTAGCTGTGCACAACAAGCGAGGAGAAGGCCTAAGGAAAAGCCCACACATAAGAAGTGAAGACAGCCTAAAGACAGACATCAGATTTTAGAAATCTGTGCCTTTGAGATGGCTCAGTGGGTAAGGGCACTGGCTTCCAAGCCTGACAACCAGAGTTCTAGTCCAGAGGACCCACATGGTAGACAGAACCAATTCCCCACAAGTTGTCCCAATTTCCACACATGCACATGTATGATATGCATCTCTCTTCCCCAACAAAGTAAATGTTTAAAAAAAAAATGAATTTGGGTAATTTCAAAGTATTTGCTAGAAAAGACTTATCTCAGACCTAACAAAAGCAATTGTAACACACAAAATACATGTGTTGTGGGGCTGGGGAGGTGAGGTGGCTCAGTAGGTAAAGTACCTGCAGTGCAAGCACAAAGACCTGAGCCCCCCAGAACCCACATAAGAAAGCTGAGTTTGCCGGGCGGTGGTGGCGCACGCCTTTAATCCCAGCACTCGGGAGGCAGAGCCAGGCGGATCTCTGTGAGTTCGAGGCCAGCCTGGGCTACCAAGTGAGTCCCAGGAAAGGCGCAAAGCTACACAGAGAAACCCTGTCTCGAAAAACCAAAAAAAAAAAAAAAAAAAGAAAGCTGAGTTCATGTACATGGAGGTACAACTGTAGCCCTCATCTTGTGGCAGGGACAGGCAGACCCCTGAAGCCCACTGGCCAGCCACCCTAGTTGAATCATGAGCTTCAACCTAGGTCACTGGGTCAAGGTGCTTGCCACCAAGCCAGTCGTCCTCTGAATGCCACACATTTGCTGTGGCAGCTACCCATAACAAGTAAGTCAGTGGGACAGAGGGAAGATACCTGACGTTGACCTTGGGCCTTCCCCATGTGCTCACATTGCACACACCACAACAAAGAATGTGGGTGCCTTTTTATGTGTCTGTATGAGCATGCCACATGAGTGCAGTGTCCGAGGAGGCCAGAAGAGGGTAGCAAATTCCCTGGAGCTAGTTACAGGTGGTTGTGAATTGTCCAACATGAGTGCTTGGAACTGAAGTTGGGTCCTATGGAAAAGAAGCAAGCACTCTTCACCACTGACCCATCTCTCTAGCCCTGTCCCCATCCTGAGTCATTAATTAACAGCACATGGCATAGGTAGCTGTGGCTGTTCTATTACACTGTGTTGATGCACTCTGATACCCACTAGCTAACAGGATCACCTGACAACACAGTTCATAGAAAGCAGTCCTGTCATTAAGTGACATGTGACTATTTATATATTATTCCCTACCTCTTCGTGTATTCTAAGGTGTCTCCTTGAGTCCAAGCTCCTAGACCCCTTTCATGGCACAAGACCCACTTTGCATCCTGCTGATGACAGTGGCCTGAGCAGAAATCCTTTCATCAGACAGAAAAAGTAAACACCCAAAACACAATGGCCTGTGGTTTCTGTGATGACTGGAGTCATGGCTGCAAGGAGGCCCAGAGCAGAGAGAACCAGGAGACTTTGTTCTTCTTTTCTGAGTCAGGACCTCACTCTGTAACCTTGGCTGGCTTGAATTCACTATGTAGAACAGGTTGGCCCCAGAATCAATGGAGCTATGCCTGCCTCTCTGCCTCCCAAGTGCTGGGATTAAAGGTGTGGACCACAATGTCCAGCAAGCTGACTAGAGGAGATAATGTATTGCTATTATATTTAACTATGTGTAAGTATGTCCCTGTGTGTGTCTTTGTATGTGTCTGTGGTAAGTGTATGCCACATGAATGTGGGTGCCCATGAAAGCCAAAGCCACCGGATACTTTAGAGCTGGAATTACAGGTGGCTGTGATCTGTCTAGTGTGGATGCTAGGAACTGAACTTGGGTCCTCTACAAGAGCAGTGAACACTCTTAACCACTGAGACTTCTCTCCAGGCCCTGGCTTTCTTTTTGATGTCCTTATTTATTCGGAGATTGAGTCTGGCAGTAAACTTGCAATCCTCTAGCCTCAGTCTTTCAAGTGCTGAGTGCTAGGATTGCCGATCCACAAAGGGCTCTGCAGGCCAGGTCAGCTACAGGAGTAAAGTGGATAGGAGAGATGCATTTCAGGAACCGGGTATCACTTGGACAGAGGAATGGAAAAGGGAGTACAAGTGCTGTGCAGGGGAAATGGAAAGAGAAGTCCAAATGAATCCTGGAAGGAAGCGAGAAGAGAGGCGTGGGATCCCCTTGGAGCTGGAGTTACAAGTGGCTGTGAGCCACCTAGTGTGGGTGCTGGGCACACTAGGTCTTCTACAAAAGCAGCCAGTGCTTTTAACCACTGAACCCTCTCTCTGGCCCCAGAAGTGACTTTTTATCTTACTTTTCCTTTCATGCTATTTTAAAAGCTAAGAATCTGGGCTGGAGAGTTGGCTCAGTGGTCAAGAACTCTTGTTACTCTTGCAGAGGACCTGAGTTTGATTCCCAGTAGCTACACAGCAGCTAACAACTATCTAACTGTAACTTCAATTCCAGGGTATCTGACACTTCCTCCTGACCTCAGAGGGCACCAGACGTGCATCTAGTACATGCACATACGCAGAAGTAAAGTACCCATACACATAAAAACAAAACAAAACAGAGCCTAATTTTGAAAAGCAAAATTAAACTAAGAATATAAAAACCTATAAAATGTGAAACCTGCTCTCACTATGAATTATTTCATTGTCACCTGGGGGTGACAATTACAGCCTTTTGGCAGGTCAGCTTTGCTGTACAGATCCTTTCATCTACGGAATTCCTAGGGCTGTGTCCCAGAGGGAAGAGGGCAGGCAAGCTTAGGGGTACTATGGGAGCTATGACTAACAGCCATACAGCTCTCCGGCCTCCTCCTAGGGCATCCTTTCTTCAAAACCACAATTTCAGGGACAGTCATGAACCAAGTTTGGGGTGCGGAGAGTGGGAGGTTAGGGTGAGGGACTGCCTTCCTGTCAATTAACTCCAAATGCATCACCATAAATGAGAAGTGCTTCTACAGGAATATTCCAGGAGGCTGCTTTGCTCCTGGCTCTTTGCATAATGTAAGCCAGTTTTCACCTTTTAAGAGATCATCCACCTGCTTGCCCTCACCAGATGAAAAGACCAGCTCTCATTCTACCCAGTTTCCACAAGATTCAGGCAAAGTCGCTTTTCATTAACCAATAACTTGGTCCTAGCAGGGAATAAGGTAAACATACTAAGTATTTGCCTAACTTTGGAGGTGTGACTCAAAAGCCTGAGGCCACCGGTTAAGGTAAAGATGGCAAAAAGGCGCATTTGCCTAAATAAACTGCGCACACACTGGCTTTGCTGCTCCTTGGACATCACATTCCCCGAAGGCCAAAAGTGGAGAAGGACTGTGAAGGACAGTGGAAAAAGCCCGTAAACTGGGCAGCATACATCCTGGTCTGGAGCATGCTTGAGATGGCTCCGGCCCTGAACTGCGTAACTGCAGCTATCTACCAGTATTAGCAACCCCAGCCCCTGCGCAGGCAGGCTTCTGACCTTGGGCAAGTCTCTGGCTTCTGGGGTTGTCTTTTGCAATCCCAGGAGAGGTGGTGCCCCGTTCCCGTGAGCATGAGGTGTGTCGCCAGGAAAGCAAGTGGCGGAACCTTCCCCCTGACATATCGCTGCAGAGCCTGGATCCCCACGCTTACGTCCCAGCGGCCCTGCTCCTCGGCTCTCGAGCCCAGTTCAGACAGCGCCGCACCACAGATCCCGGGACTCCCGCGAGGAGAAGCCAGGCACGAGGACCCGGCTGTGAGGACGAGGCTCCACGGCGAAAGGACTGTCTGTGGGGACCCCAGATCGCCGCCAAGGCCGCAGCCAGAACTCTCGGCAGTGAGTGGGGCCGACGCGGAGGAGCAGCACTCTCTTACCTGAGCGACAGCGCCAACGCCGGGAGACTGCGCCGCGCCAGCCTCATACACCGAGCCGCCATGACTGCCCCCGCGGCTGCGTCACTGCGCCCACACTGAGCATGCGCGGAAGCATTTACGCCAGCTTCCCTACCCACTGCTGCCTCTCAACCAATCCGTGACGAGTGTTGCTTTGATGGACAAGTATATCCACCTATAATTGCTAGTCGTGACGTACAGTTTCCCCGCCCCCTCTTCCCCCGGTGGGCGAGGACTGAGGCTTCTGGGAGCTCCGGAAGGTGAGGAGGTGAAAGGTGAAGGGAGCGGGGGGCGGAGCCTCTGTGGGCGGGGCGCAACAGGGGCAGCCAATAGAGAGGAAGAGCGCGGGGGCGGGGCGGACGGCGCGCCGACGGGACGAGGCAACTTGTGTGGGGTGGGCGGTGCTCGCTTAAAGCTCCGGCTGCTTTTGGTGTGGGGAACGTAGGAGGACAGGGAAGGGACCGGGGTGGGGGTGGGGGGGTGGGAGCGGGGTGGCGGGTGTCTTTGCCGAATCTGCCGCAAGCGTGTGTGTCAGCAGGCTGTCTGTGGAAGACCCGAGGAACATGCATGGCTTGGTTTTGTGCCTTCAGTCATCTCCAGTTTTTTTCAGAACGCAACACAAGCAAATGAACTAGCAACAGTGTGTTCAGGAGAGCTTCGAGGATACGGGTGCAAAAGTTTGGTCAGTGCTCTGGGGGAGGATGCAGTGCTGAGAGTCGCCGGAGGACGCCTCCTGTCCTGTCCAGGTCTGCATCTGCTTCCTTCCTCCCCATCCTCCCTCACGTCCCGAGAGCGAATGCCTTGTCCGCGGATTAGAGCCTACGTGTACACTCGAAAGGGCCCAAACTCTTATTATTTAGCTTCGCTCTTATTAAAGTCATTTGCTCAACGTATGCTACTGTTTGCCAGGGGTGGAGCATGTCCACATGAAAGCACAGCTCTCCCCTCAAAAGGTGTAAGTTCATTCTGAAGCCAATTATAAGTGACCCTGGCCCAGAAACAGTTTTAGGACAGCCCAAATTCTATGTGCCAACGTGAAAGCAGTTTCAGGACGTTTGTAGAGTAGCAGAACAAAGGAAGCCATAATTCAAGACATAAAGTACACTGGTGGGAACATTAAGTATGTGATAACAACAAAGCAGAGAAATCTTAGCTGTAGGCCTCAGACGCTATCTGATAGCACTCTTAGTCCTTTGATTGGTGGAGAGTAGTGTTTTGTTACTACATTACCAAGATTTTAATCTGTTTATCAGAATGTTGGGTCTGACACAGAGTGGGGCAGGGAATGACTGTTTAATGGACTAAAGATAGGCCAAGATAAATTGTAATTAGGCTCTGGACCTGCAACGTTCCAGCCTCTCCACAGTCACTGAGGTTTTACTCAAGTTAATCAGCCTCTGCAAACAGTTTCCAGGGGTCCTGGTTCATTGATGTTTTCTAGAACAACTGACCTGATTCATTAATTCATTAGGGCAGAGAGAAAGGGATGGGGGGGGGTGATGAGGGACAGACAGGGCGTGCTGTTAGCACACTAGTGAAATTAAAAGACATAATCGCGTCTGTGGCACTTGATTGTGACAGACCAAACAACTGAAAAAGGCAGGGTGTGAAAAGGGACTTGAGTGTGACGGTATCAGATGATAACATGGCACCACTGGCCCTTTCGATAGGGAGTGATATGGCCTGGTGGTCAGGGCTCTGAGTGGAGCTATTTATAGTAAGTTGTCATATTGTTTGGGAATAGAGTTAAGAATACTCTAGTTTTAAAAGGTGAGGCTTCTTGTAAGACTGTGGGGAAACGTTGAAGCCGGTGGTGACTACCGTAGGGGCTTAGACAAGTTTCTTTGGAAATTTTCTCCAATAAGACTTAAAACATCCTGTGGTTTTCTCTGGCAGTAACCAGGTCACCAAATTGCTCCCGTCCTGACGGTGGTTATTCTTCAATCTTGGGTCTTATTTGTTGTGAGGCTTCAAAGGATGGTCATGTCCATGACTCGCACATCCATCTGCAGAGACAGATGAATGTTATAACTGCTGGGTGGAGACAGGCAAGTATGGCTCCTCCCAGGGGTGAGGCCCTTGGGGACCCTGAACAGCTTCTCAGTACATCCTACAGGGTTCTTCCACTAGGAGGCCTACCTGCCTGTGCTGCCACTGGTGACCCACTCAGGAACTACCTCCAGAAGCTGCCATCTTGGGCAGTTCCACCGTCTCCCTGACATCCGTCCACCTGGCCAGTAATCTGCAGATGGAGGTGGAGCTGCCTGGAGAAAACACTTAGGTCAGCCGTCTGAGTTCACATTCAGCAGTAGTCAGGGCAGTCCAGCGTGGCTAGGAATGCAGGAAGAGCAAAGGAAAACGTGGGGTGGACCTAGAGAGGATAGAGTGGTGTTTATAAAGAAAAACAGTCCTCAGAAGGTCGTGCAGATGGTTCAACAGCATGACTGGGGGCGTGATATGCATTATAGCAGAATGCCTGCTCTGTGCCAGGCTCTCTAAGATGTCCTCTTGTGGGTCAGCCCCAAGACTTGTTGGGGAGAGGAACAGTTAGTTGGCCAGGTTAGGTGACTCACAGAGCAGAGCTCTTGGATATCTCTTCACACTGACCCAGCATGCACTGGGGTGGAAAACAGAACCGGTGCCGTCTCCCAGCGGTGTCTGTTGCTGCCTTCAGTGGCATGGTGATGCCTCAGTTAAGGGGTGGCTCTTCATCCCCTCATGCAACTTGGAGGTCGGCCAGTTTGGAGACACCTGGGATTGATGGTTCATCTTTGTTAGCAACCTGACTGGATTTGGAACCACCTGGGGGGGGGACACTTCAGGGTGTGCCTGTGATCGTATCTCTAGAGATGTTTAACTGACGGGAGAGCCACTCTAAATGTGAGTGGCACCATCCCATGGACTGAAGCCAAGGCTGAACGAAAGAGAAGGAGAAAGCCTGAGGAGCACCAGCCGTCACCTCTCTCCTGCTTCCTGGTCCATGGAAATGTGAGCCGGCAGTCTCAAGCTCCTGCCTCGGGCCTTCCTCGCCAGGATGAACTAGAGCCCAGATGAGCCCTTCTTCCCTCAGTGTGTTCTCCGGTGCTTTGTCACAGGAATGGAGAAGAGAACTAGTACAATAGCAGTAGCAGGCAGTTGTGAAGATGGACGCCAAGGATCGGCCCACGCCTGACCCAGCATTCAACCAGACACCAATCTAGAGGCCGCTGGGCAGGAGCTTGCACTGTGTATCAGTGTCCCAAGTCCATTGTCCTTGAGGTATTGAGCCCTTTAAAGGCAGCAGAAAGTGGGGTCCAGGTGAAGTCAGGAGGAGAGCTAGAATCGCTGCCGCTGGCTGGGAGGTGGAAGTGATCTATCTCTCTATATCTAGGTATCTAGATATCTATATCTATGTCTATATATATCACTTCCTGACAGCCATTGGGTGAGCAGCTGTCTCACCACATTCTCCCTACCATAAATTTTTGCCTCATCATAGGCCAAAATCAATGGAGCCAAGTGGCCAGGGGTGAAACCATAGAAATCGCGTGAGGAATAGGCCTTTCCCCCTTTCAGTTGGTTGTCTCCGGTATTTTATCACAGCCATGGAAAGTTGACCACACAGGTCAACAAAACCCACTAATGAACCCTACTCCTCAGTGCATTTTGGAGAAGAAATATTCCAAAAGAGGTAATGTGGGAAGCAGGGTTTCCACCTGTCTAGGGCTAGGAAGGCAGGAGGATGATGCTCTGTCCTGAATGCACTATGGGCATGAAGCCTGACATGGGGTAGAATCTTTTTTCCTTGTTTGAGACAGGCTTTCATCATGTCGTCGTGACTGGCCTGGAACTCAGAAACAGCCTGCCTTTGCCTCCATAATGCTGGGATTAAAGGTGTGTGCCACACTGGTGGAATCGGTGTTTAAAGATTAAATCTGGCCATCTGAGTTTGACTCCTGGATCCTACAGTGGGTGAATAGAACCAACTTCTGAAAGTTGTCTTCTCATGTCCACATTCACACAATGACAGCAAATTTAAAATAAATCTAAAAGACAACGTTTTAATAGAAAGGTATGTTTCTTTATAGTTAATTTCAGGTGGGTTTGCTTCCTGTACCTGCCAAGAGCAGCCTAACATAGCCCCCGAGAGCTACTGCCACCTTGTGGCCACATCTTTATTCTATTTTTGTCGCATCGGTCTTCAATCCTGTTAAATATTCTTTGTTGCCACTTAAATTTGTTTTTAGTCCATTAATTGTGTGTGTGTGTGTGTGTGTGTGTTTGCACGAATACACATGTGTGCTCATGCTCACAGGCATGTGCATACCTATGTGTGTGCAGGTGCCTGTGTGCGGGAATGCATGATGCACGAAGAGACCAGAGGTGGCATTAGATGTCACTCCTCGGGAATAGTCCCCCTGTTACAATCATGGTGCTACTTCCAGCTTTTTATGTGGATTCTGGGATGGAACTCAGGTTTCATGCATGTGCAGCGAGCACTTGATCTACTGAGACATCTCCCCAGTCCCCATTAATACTATTTTTGAAATAGCTTCTTGGTCAGCTCTGTCCTCTACATGACATGCTTTCCATAACTTACATCTCATTTCATTTTCTTATCTTATTGCATTTGCCTTGATTTAATGTTGATAATTTTAAAAATTAAAACCTTTATTATTTTGTCCTATTTGGGGGATAGGGTCTCACCATGTAGCCCAGGCTGGCCGAGATCTTGACACCCTTCAAGCTTATTTTAAGAAATCCTTTGTTTATTTGGATGCATAAAAATTGTGCTTATTTGTGGGGTGTTATGTGACACTGTCACACATGCACACATTGTGTGACATTAGATCATGGTAAGCCTGTCTCTTGTCTCTAATGTTCATCAATTCTTTGTTGTGAAACTAGAAGATTTTTTGGGAATACAGTTGTAAGGGAGGTTGGCCCCCTCAGAGTACAGGATATACCCAGACACCAAATTCTTAGCACGAAGGGGATTATTACTCTGGAGGGGCAAGCAGTGGGGGTTGCGGGGGGTGTTGGGGGAGGCTGTAAAGGCAGCAGCAGCAAGTGCAAGCAAGCAGGAGCAAGTGTTTCTGCACAGGGTGAGTTGGTAAATACTGACTGGCCATGTTGGCCAAATAATGAATTTTGATTGTTGGACCTTGGTGTTTTGTCTCAGGAATGAGTCAGTGGCCAAATAAGGGAATGGACCTTGGGCTCTAGCTTTAGGAATGTAATCTAAAGGTTTTTAGCAAGGGGGAGAAGGGTAAAAGGAGAAACGCGTCCATGCCATGTCAGCCGTGCTTGGGCCTGTTAGTCCTTCCCCCAGCCTAACAGTATTGTTATTATCTAGTCACCTTGTGGGGTGGCGCTTGTTCCCCCACAAGTGTTCATTGTCCATCTTCTCCTCTACATTCAGTTGACGTTGAATTGTGGCGATGATGGTGTTCGCCCTGCCCTGTCTCTGACGTCAGTGAGGTCGGTTCGAAGCTTCCTCCTATAGCCCTGCTGTCAGCTCCCAGTGTTAAAGGGCACGCTGTTCACACATGTCCGTGACACCTTCCCGTCATGCAGTGCCCTTCTTTAAGCCAGCCATCCTCTCCTGGGATGACTTCACCGAGCTCTTACCTCTCCTCACTTTCACTCTTTACAGCCCTCTCCCAGGTCTTCCCCAGCAAACAGCCTGAGTTGCCTCACAGAATCACAAGTCAGCTCACGTCTCTCTTACAGCCTGCTGCTGGCTTTGCATCACACCTAGCACACCAGGACCTCAGAGAGGGCTCTGTGGAGAGGCTGACATGGAGGGGTGAGGTGGGCTCTGTGGAGAGGCTGACATGGAGGGGTGAGGTGGGCTCTGTGGAGAGACTGACATGGAGGGGTGAGGTGGGCTCTGTGGAGAGGCTGACATGGAGGGGTGAGGTGGGCTCTGTGGAGAGGCTGACATGGAGGGGTGAGGTGGGCTCTGTGGAGAGGCTGACATGGAGGGGTGAGGTGGGCTCTGTGGAGAGGCTGAGATGGAGGGGTGAGGTGGGCTCTGTGGAGAGGAGGAGATGGAGGGGTGAGGTGGGCTCTGTGGAGAGGCTGAGATGGAGGGGTGAGGTGGGCTCTGTGGAGAGGCTGACATAGAGGGGTGAGGTGGGCTCTGTGGAGAGGCTGACATGGAGGGGTGAGGTGAGCTCTGTGGAGAGGCTGAGATGGAGGGGTGAGGTGGGCTCTGTGGAGAGGCTGAGATGGAGGGGTGAGGTGGGCTCTGTGGAGAGGCTGACATGGAGGGGTGAGGTGGGCTCTGTGGAGAGGCTGACATGGAGGGGTGAGGTGGGCTCTGTGGAGAGGCTGGCATGGAGGGGTGAGGTGGGCTCTGTGGAGAGACTGACATGGAGGGGTGAGGTGGGCTCTGTGGAGAGGCTGACATGGAGGGATGAGGTGAGCTCTGTGGAGAGGCTGAGATGGAGGGGTGAGGTGGGTTCTGTGGAGAGGCTGAGAAGGATGGGTGAGGTGGGCTCTGTGGAGAGACTGACATGGAGGGGTGAGGTGGGCTCTGTGGAGAGGCTGACATGGAGGGGTGAGGTGGGCTCTGTGGAGAGGCTGGCATGGAGGGGTGAGGTGGGCTCTGTGGAGAGACTGACATGGAGGGGTGAGGTGGGCTCTGTGGAGAGGCTGACATGGAGGGATGAGGTGAGCTCTGTGGAGAGGCTGAGATGGAGGGGTGAGGTGGGTTCTGTGGAGAGGCTGAGAAGGATGGGTGAGGTGGGCTCTGTGGAGAGACTGACATGGAGGGGTGAGGTGGGCTCTGTGGAGAGGCTGGCATGGAGGGGTGAGGTGGGCTCATGTGGCTTGCCCATCCGTTGGCCATTGTTGGCTTTGTAAATCGTGTTATTGGAACTCGGTGGTGCTCATGCACTTGGTGAGGGCCGTGTCCAGCTTTGTCTGCAGCACTCCGAAGAAGAGCATGGGCCGTGAAGAGAGTCTGCTCCTCATTGCCCTCTGCTCCTCGTTAAAGTTTGTGACCCTGAGAGTTCAGTGCAGCTAAATTCACACTCAGGGCAAAGGGTGTCCCGCCCACAGGTGTCACTGAAGAAGGTGCCGCTGTGTCTCTGTAAGGCAGAAATGGGGTCCTGGACACAACAAAGTGTAAATGAATGGGGGCCTAGAAATGCCTGGCAGCAAGTCATGCCTGTCCCCTCCAAAGCCACCAGATCTAGGGAGGACCGAGGAGGGGGAGCGGGCCCATCACTTGCTCAGTTAGATGCCTTGATGCCGCAGTCTAGGCTGTCTGGCCACGGCAGTCCCTCCTTTGCCCAAACTCGTGTGACCCTCCTTTCACAGATGCCATCCTTTCAATAGTTCACAACCCCCTCCATCTCAGCCTCTCCACAGAGCCCACCTCACCCCTCCGTATCAGGCCCTCCACAGACCTGCACGCCTCCACGCTTCCTGCCATGCTGATAATAGACTAAACCTCGGAACCTGTAAGCCAGCCCCAATGAAATGTGTTCCTTATAAGAGTTGCCACGGTCATAGTGTCTCTTCACAGCAATAAAACCCCAACTAAGACAGTAAGCAACTCAAAATAGCTTCAGGAAGTCCCTGAAACTGAGGAGATTCACTAGGCCCCTCCCTGCCAGAGAGTGCCACAGAGGAAAAATGCTGAGCTGCTAGAAGACTCTCAGACTGAGAGACCAGCTGCCTGGAAGAAACAGAAACCAGCTCAGCTTCCTGGAAGAGGTTTAGACCAACTGAGGCACCTGGAAACGACACTCTTCCTGCCTGTTGAGCTGCCTGCAGGCTGTGCAGTGTGCTCCAGATTTCCAGCTTTTGTGAGCTCTGACCCATGCTGCGGTGGGCTTGGGTGATGCGGCTGTTTTTGAGTCATTTCTGCTCCTGTAAGTCACCCCTCACCCATATTCCTGTGAGCAACCCCAATAAAACTCATTGGTTCACCAAATTGGACTTCAGTGGTCTCTGTACTTTAGTCTCTCATGGGTTCCCTATCTGGGGAGAGTAGATGTGTGTGTTGAATCTCCCCCCTCCAAAACAAAAAAAAAAGTTTTGTCACACAACAGGTGCTACCATCCCAAAGCCTGGAATAAAAAGGGAAAGTCAGTCAGCCCCTCTCTGTTTCTTCCTCCCTGCCTCCCCCTCTCTCTGCCTCTCTCCCCACCTTCCTCCTTCCAGGCTTTCTTGCTTCTTTGAGGGAAGCAGACTTTCCACAGCTGCAGCCACCAAGATGTTCTCCTCACCACAGGCTCACAACAGAGCCAAGACCTGAACCCTAGTGTTTGGGTGGGAGCTCCACCCCAAGCCCTGGCACCCTGGCATCCCTATACCCAAGGAGTCAGGAACGTTTGGAAGGAGTCTGGTGGAAGATCCACCTCAACTCCCCTCCCCTATCTCTTTCCCTAAACCTGCCCCTTCTAAGCCCGCCAAACACAGCTCCTCCCTCCCCCAGAGAGGATCAAGACCACTCCCACAGGGTATATAAGCTGCATCCCAGAAAACAGACATTTGGTTCTTTTGGTCTCTTGGCCCCGTCTCCTCTCTGAGGGGCCGAGAACCACCCGGGAACGCTTTACCCATTAAACCTGGGCTTTTCCAAGTTCAGTCTGATTCGCTTTGCTGAAGGCGGAGAGGCCTTCAGGGTGCAAAAACTTATCACCTAGGAACCATGAAACAAATCTAACAGCCCCTCAAAGGTGTTCCTGGTCAGTGCTCCTCAGCCTTCCTAATGCTGCCACCCTTTGATACAGTTCCTCACGCGGTGGTGACGCCTCTCCCCACCACAAATTATTTTCATTGCTACTTCATAACTGTAACTTTGCTACTGTTATGAACTGTAATGTAAATATCTGTGTTTTCTGATGGTTTTAGGTGACCCCTGTCAAAGGGTCACTACCCACAGGTTGAGAACCGCTGTTACATACTTATCGCTGAGATGGGAAACTGAGGAAACCCGCATGTTCCAGAAGAGAAGAGCAGTTAGCAGCAACCTGGCAAGCTCTCCCTGCAGTATCCTTCCTGATGATGCTTTTTAAGTTGTGACAGCCCGGGTGGGGTG